CACTCACAGTCACCGTCACTCACAGTCACCGTCACTCACAGTCACCGCCACTCACCGTCACCGTCACTCACAGTCACCGTCACAGTCACCGTCACTCACAGTCACCGTCACTCAGCAGTCCTGTCACTGGCTGACGTCCCCGGGAAGCAGCAACTCCCGGCCACACCTTTGGAAATGTGCACGTGGAAGCGTCAGGAAAGCAGACAGCCGCCAGCGCTCCGCCTCGCTTCCTGTGGCCGGCCACACGTTCCTTTAGGGACAATTCTGTAACGGCATTTTACCATTACGTACTCTGTAGAAATGAAAATAACAAAGACCCAGGGACTATTACCAGAAAACCAGCCATGTTATTTTTAATACAGCTGATGTACAGAATATTTAATTACAGCGGGGCAGTGATTCCAGTTAAATTAAAAACTTTTATTTTCCCAAATATAAAATTACTAAATTAAAGTCTTAAAAGAAAATATAACATGGTGAAAACTTTAAATTATCTCCCCACTCACTATAGGACTTTGGGTTTACCAATCACATAGTCTACCATTTTGGCAAAAGGAGGAAAAATCTTTTAAACAGTTTATAAACCTCATATAGCAAAGACTGTATACATCTCCATATTGCACTTCTTATGTACAGGAATAAAACAGTGAAGTCGAATGTACTTGCACACACTGAGCACAGCACAAACTGGCCACAAATAAACAGCATGGAAGCCGATGGACTGCAAGTGGGGAAATGGAGTGTGTGTGAGCACAGGGAGGAGGCTGCGTTAACCGACGGCGCTGGTCTGACACGAGCCTGTGGGCCCAGGCCTGCGGCCCTGTGAGCTCCCTGGCTCCGGCCCACCTGCAGGATCATGCTTTGAGGACACAGAGGCGCACATCTCCTCAGTGTCTCATAAGTACAAAAATTACAATAGTGAATCCTCTCAGTCGTCAAAAACTAGACACAAAAATAGTTCTGTACTCATCCAATATATGCCACAGGAAAAAAATATTTTCAAGATATTTCCAGCTTAGTCCCCAGCCTGTTTCAGTGCTGCTGCAGCTGCCACAGGCATCCCAGACACTTTCCATTAGGTCATCTGCCTTAATATAATACTCTAAGAAGAATAAAACTAAACTGCAGCTTAAGAGTGTCCACACAGACCTGTTAAGACACAAGGAAAACTAAATATTGCCAGTGAGACTTAAAAAAAACATGTGCGCCTTCCCCCGCTCCTACAAGACCCGCTCCTCAATATTGCAGTCCAGGCTCCTCTCTCCCACTCTGCATGGCTTCTTCCTCGCTCGCCACACCAGTGATTGGCTCCGGAAGTCATCCTGAGTTTGCACGTGACAAAACATGTCCCCACACTGGTTCCTGAGGTAAATCACACGACTGAGGACGAGCTCGTCAACCCCTGAACCACCGTGCTGGTGGGTGTCCCGCTGATGGCGTTGAAGATGTGCAGGGAGTTTGGGAGGACGCTGGTCTTCTCCTCCAGGGGGCAGATCTTGAGGCACAGAAAGACGGGTTAGCAACATGGCCAGTGCCGCAGGGACGCACAACTTGTCATTCACAGGTAGGCTGCGGCTCGGGCAGTGTGCTTATCTAGAAATGGCTACCTTCAGGACCGTGAGGAGAGCCTCGAGAAGAATGCGCATCACGACTTAATGACCGGAGCCTTCCAGATGCCCATCTTAGGTAACGAGAGTCCCCCCTCACCGTCACCGACACATGGACTATTCCTGTCCCCCGAAAAACACCTTCGGAAGTGAATTTGGATCATCTGTGTTTCTCCTGTCTCCTTTGCCCATGTGAATTTGATCATTTGTTCTCTCCTGTCTCCTTCCCTCAGACCTTACAGGCTGGAGAGCCCCGTTATGACAAATAAGAGCAGGCCTGACCTCTGGGTTCGTGGAGACTCAAAACAACAGGCCCGAGCAGCTGTGAATACACGGGGCCACTGTGCAAAGGTCATGTTTCTTTCTGTGTGTGGGCTCACGGGTGCTGACAGAGGCTTAGAGCAACACAGCAAACCACTGAAGTCACTGGCTGCTCAGCCCAGGAGCCTGACAGGCCCCACTCCCTCGACTTCCGTCTCTCTTGGTCCTGAACCTGGCGCCCACTGTCAGGTGCTCCATCCTCCAGTAATCTGGAGGACAGAGGAAACGATCAAGTTTTCTCCAACAGTTTGCTCCCATGAACCTCCTCCACTCCTTTTGCTAAGTCATTTACACATTAATGATTTAATCTTTTTAGTTATCCAACTTTTTAAAGAAATTATTTGTTTATTTTCTGTACACTGGTGTTTGCTGCATGTATGTCTGTGTGAGGGTGTCAGATCCTCTGGAAAAGGAGTTACAGACAGTTGTGAGCCGCCATGTGGGTACTAGGACTTGAACCCAGGTCGTCTGGAAGAACAACCAGTTCCCTTAACTCTTGAGCTAGCTCTCTAGCCCGACCTTTTCTGTTTGTTTGCTTTTTGAGACAGGGTTCCTCTGTACAGTCCTGGCTACTCTGGAACTCTGTAGAGAAGGCTGGCCTTGAACTCATAGAGATCCACCTGAATGCTGGGATTTCAGGCGTGTGTTGCCATCATCCAGCTATTTTCTCTACTTTTAAGAGTTGCTCTCCACAGCACAAGCACAAATCCACAGTTGCTTAAACTCAGTCAGAACCTTGTGTGATTCAGGTTAGGTGAGACAGTTTATCAGAACAATAAAATTAAAAATGTCATTACCATCCCATCTGTGCAGCAGGGGGGAAGAAAGCAAGAACGTTAGAGTCAAGCAATCACATCAGGTCTGCAGCCCTAACTGGAACACCTCCCACACACCTATACCTAGGCCTCCCACACTGCAGCATAGGGCAGAAGAGCCAGAGGTCAGGGCTTCTGCCGCAGGGTGCTGTCTTCTGTGTGACAGGAGGCACCATGGCCGCCTAAACAAGACCTGGGACATGACAGCGCTGCCGACATGCGTGTGTGTGTGTGTGTGTGTGTGTGTGTGTGTGTGTGTGTGTGTAATCCCACAAGACTGTCCTTAGAGGAAGGGACATTTGACGACCGCTGAGAAAGAGGGAGTCCGTCTTCTCCAGGGACGAGCCCCTCACAGGTTGCCTGATCCAAGCGGTCAGCTCTAAACACACACAGGCAATACGCAATGGTGCTGTGTTTACTCAGCAGGTGTGTTATGTGTATGCACGTGACAGTGATAGTTGAAGAAACCATGAACTTGAGGATGTGTGTGTATCGGTGAGAGAGCTGAGGGGTAGGTGTAACTACAGTGTTATTCACACATGAAATTCTCAAGAAATAAAAAGCACTTTCCAGTTATCATGTGATGAGGCTGCCACAGACACAGTGTGGGGCCCAGGAGCTGATGCCTGGACATGTGCTGGGCACCCCGTGTCCCAATGCCTGCGGGACCATGGGGAGAATTCTCATGGGATGGACAGAACACAGGAGAGTCATGAGGACAGACCCGGGACCTCCTGGGGTGCCAGTGGCTCGGCTGGCACCACTCCACTATTTAACTGACGAAGACAAGAGCAGGCCGTGAGCTCTGCTCTCTCAGGGTACGAGCCAGCCATCAGCTCTGTTCTCTCAGGGGTGTGAGCAGGCCATGAGCTC